TGGTCCCTTAATGACGTGAGCTGTGACCTTTGCAATTTTTTACACATATATTGGTTGGCGTCCTTTCCAATGCTCTGTACCTGTGTAAATATACATACTATATATAGCTATGGTCCAGTGCTCTTTCTTGGTTTCAGTAGCCTTTAAGCATGTTATAGCGACTCTGATTCCTTTGTTTTTACCCTGCTATTTTCATTGACACTGCTAGGTATAATCCTGGTTCTTGTGTTTCGACAAGGCTATGTATCTGACAATGAGTATTCCTGTTAGTGTACCAGTGTCACTGACTTTGAGCTGTTCCAATGTTCTTGTTTCCAGACCCTACCCTGCCTTTGATTTTGATATTGTTTATTTTTTCATATTCTACTGCTCTTATAATATTTTTTTGAATAGTCTATATATTTCCTCCTTAGCGTTAAGCCCGGCCACACTAAGGTCCGGTAATACGCCTATCTGTCATTTCCAACTGTGTCTTTAGTAGAATTTCTGTCTTGCTATCCTCCGTATCTTGCTGAAGATTCTCACATTAGCTTAATACTATAATCTTTCAAAAGATAAATACATACAATGGTGGATCACTAGTCTTGATGCGTCTAAAAAGAAACATAAAACCATATAGTGTAATATTGTCTATAAATATATTAATATGGATAACGTAGAGATCATGTACTCACAAGCCTGGAGCCAAATAATAGACTTAAAGCTATCTAAAAACGAGACTAGCTGAACACTGTAGAAATATTCTAAAAGGTTACAAGAAACAATCAGTCTCAAAAATTTTCTACAACATGGAAAGAATCCAAAATACCTTAAATGTATCGGTATAGACACTTGTAATGTCCCATGGAGAGGAGGAAATATTAAAAAAGTTTTAGGGAAAAAAGAAATGGAATGGGCACACAATCTAAAAGCCCTTGCCCCCACAGGGCTAAATATTGATTTTGATCTTTTTAATTTTTTATAATAAATAATTAATCTCAGATGTCTTATATTTATTTATTATATATTATATATTTTTATTTTTATGATACTTCTTATCATTCTGTTTCTTGTTTACATATACTGAAAAATGCCTGTATGTTTTTAATATCTCTTATGTGTATCTTTTTTTTTTTTCTTTTTTTAATTCTTTATTTTTCACTCGGCAGGAAATACAGTAACATGCCAACGACAATCTGGCTTACGCAGAAGCCTTATTCACAACGCTCGTAACGCTACATTTGAAACATGGCTGAGTTAAGATATAGATAACATACAGTAAAACGCCAGATTTTGCGTATGGCTGATTCGCACCTCGTACCTTCCACCGAGGGTTTTTGTTTTTGTACGAGCATTCAAACATATAGTAAGACTTTAATTTAAGAAATTCCCTTGAGTTTCAAGGGAGAAATGAATGAAGAGAAAAAGGAAAGAGAGGAGAGAAAGGAAAGGAAGGAAAGAGAGAAGAAGAAAAAAGAGGGGGGGGGGAGGAAGAACAGGGGGACAAGCGGGCCATGCCCCGACCCTTATCCACGCTACTCCCTAGTTTACTGGAGTCCACTCCTCTCCTCTTGTGTAATTAAGTGTTCTTGCAAGAACACTTATTGTTATCTCACATATATATTATTATTAAGTGTTCTTGCATAGCAAGACCACTTATTGTTATCTCACATATATATTATTATTATTATTAAGTGTTCTTGCATAGCAAGACCACTTAATGTTATCTCACATATATATTATTATTATTATTATTATTCTTATTATTATAGCAAAATTTGCCACCCTAACTCCTCCCACAGTTTTTACACTACATAGACCAAAATTTACCAAAACGTGCAGATTGTTCCCGATCGGATTGCTATTACTTTGTGGAACGTTTCGCCGAATGGTTCACGGAATATCGTCGTTTTTGTGGCGCAATTTGTCCCATAGGAATGAATGGCAAAGCTAGAGTGGGAGCTGCCAAAAGCTGAAAAATCAGGACATGATTTCTAAACTGCCACCACTCCCTTATTTTCAGGCCCACCTACACAAATCTTATATCAAAACGTTCAGCTATCCCTGCTGCCACTAAACATGTCAACGGCTAAGCCATAGTCCTGATAGTTTTCACAATATAATCATTTGTTTGCAACTAACGCCGTCCATTGACTTTCATTGAAACTTCACTCTGCAAAGCTCAAATTTGAAGTGCAATTTCTAAACTGCGACTGTGCCTTCAATTTTAATACTTCAGAGACATACTATGCATCAAAATGTAGGTCTGGGTCTTGTGATTCTCACAATATAAAGCTCTTCGCTGTAGGAGTTATAGTTTTTAAGATCGACCGTTTGAAGATGGCAACCCGTAAAATACTCTGACCTGTGTCAAGCTGCAGCGGCAAGTGATGTCATAGACAGGGGCCTTTTGAACACCTGCTAATGTTTTTATAAATGTATGGTTTTAATGTAACTGTGCAACAGCGTTGCAATTAAATAATGCTATGTAAATGATAACAGTTACTCTCCGCCCCACTCCAGTTTATGTAGACTACAGGTGGAGGCAGGCCTTCACACAATTTCCCCAGAAATTGTAGCACTCTAGTTATTAAGTGTTCTTGCATGGCAATTCACTTAATGTTGTCTCACATATATGTGTATGTGTATTATTCTTATTATTATAGCAAAATTTGCCACCCTAACTCCTCCCACAGTTTTTACACTACATAGACAAAAATTTACCAAAACGTGCAGATTGTTCCCGATCGGATTGCTATTACTTTGTGGAACGTTTCGCCGAATGGTTCACGGAATATCGTCGTTCTTGTGGCGCAATTTGTCCCATAGGAATGAATGGCAAAGCTAGAGTGGGAGCTGGCAAAAGCTGAAAAATCAGGACATGATTTCTAAACTGCCACCACTCCCTCATTTTCAAGCCCACCTACACAAATCTTATCTCAAAACGTTCAGCTATCCCTGCTGCCACTAAACATGTCCACGGCTAGGCCATAGTCCTGATAGTTTTCACAATATGACCATTTGTTTGCAACTAACACCGTCCATTGACATTCATTGAAACTTCACTCTAGAAGCTCAAATTTGAAGTGCAATTTCTAAACTGCGACTGTGCCTTCAATTTTAATACTTCAGAGACATACTATGCATCAAAATGTAGGTCTGGGTCTTGTGATTCTCACAATATAAAGCTCTTCACTGTAGGACTTATAGTTTTTAAGATACGACCGTTTGAAGATGGCAACCGCCAAAATACTCTGACCTGTGTCAAGCTGCAGCAGCAAGTGATGTCATAGACAGGGCCTTTTGAACACCTGCTAATGTTTTTATAAATGTATGGTTTAATGTAACTGTGCAACAACGTTGCAATTAAATGTGCTATATAAATGATAACAGTTACTCCGCCCACTCCAGTTGTAGACTACTGGTGGAGGCAAGAACACTTCACACAATTTCCCCAGAAATTGTAGCTTTTCTAGTTATTATTATTATTATTATTATTATAGCAAAATTTGCCACCCTAACTCCTCCCACAGTTTTTACACTACATAGACCAAAATTTACCAAAACGTGCAGATTGTTCCCGATCGGATTGCTATTACTTTGTGGAACGTTTCGCCGAATGGTTCACGGAATATCGTCGTTCTTGTGGCGCAATTTGTCCCATAGGAATGAATGGCAAAGCTAGAGTGGGAGCTGGCAAAAGCTGAAAAATCAGGACATGATTTCTAAACTGCCACCACTCCCTTATTTTCAGGCCCACCTACACAAATCTTATATCAAAACGTTCAGCTATCCCTGCTGCCACTAAACATGTCAACGGCTAAGCCATAGTCCTGATAGTTTTCACAATATAATCATTTGTTTGCAACTAACGCCGTCCATTGACTTTCATTGAAACTTCACTCTGCAAAGCTCAAATTTGAAGTGCAATTTCTAAACTGCGACTGTGCCTTCAATTTTAATACTTCAGAGACATACTATGCATCAAAATGTAGGTCTGGGTCTTGTGATTCTCACAATATAAAGCTCTTCACTGTAGGAGTTATAGTTTTTAAGATACGACCGTTTGAAGATGGCAACCACCAAAATACTCTGACCTGTGTCAAGCTGCAGCAGCAAGTGATGTCATAGACAGGGCCTTTTGAACACCTGCTAATGTTTTTATAAATGTATGGTTTAATGTAACTGTGCAACAACGTTGCAATTAAATGTGCTATGTAAGTGATTACAGTTACTCCGCCCACTCCAGTTGTAGACTACAGGTGGAGGCAAGAACACTTCACACAATTTCCCCTGAAATTGTAACTTTTCTAGTTTGGAATTTATTGTTCAATTCCCACAATTCAATATTTTGTTAAAAACCCCTAAATCGGGAGTCGCATATATCTAGGCAGACACCAAAGAGATGAGTAAATATCTAATATGCAAAGCATAAATATTTTTGGTGAATGCAAATATGATTATAATACACAATATATGTCTCAGTACATCTGTATTTATCAACCTGAATGTTGTGGGCTTATCTGTTTATGCTATCATAGATGATTCCGTATGTGTGTGCGCGTGTCTGTCTGACTTTGCATGTGTGTGTATTATTTATTTATTTATTTATTTATTTTTTATTTAGAAATCTTTATTTATGTTGGCTACGAGAGCCTGTACACCTCGAGAGCATTGCCCAGCTTGTAATAGGTTGACACAAACAATGTAAAACAGGATATCTCCTGTCACCCAAAACATAAGCCATCACGATATGGAGGAATAGAGCTTCGCAGCCCTACCCCCTGCCATGTACCTTTTATTTATAGCAAGGCTCGCGAGGATGTTATTTTGTATACTGTCATGTTTATACCTGTGGTATCCAGGTAGACAGAGTTAGGAAAAGAGAAGAGAGAGAGGATTAGAGAAGAAGAGAAGAAAAAACAAGGGGGGGGGGCCTCTTACACAGAGGTTCTTGATTGGTGGGGCCTAAATTGAGGAGAGAACCCGCCAAGGTGGTTCAGCTCAAGGGACAGTCTTCCCAAGGAGACCATATTTTTTGGAACCGTTTTTGGGTGCCTCTGACTCTTGCTGTCAGATCGTCCAACAAGTGGACTTCTTTAATTCTATTGACGACTGCAGCCATCTGTGGGGTGGTTTGTTTTAGCCAGTCCGCTGCCACTGCTCTCCTAGCTGCCAGAGTTATGTTGTGTATAAGTTTTTGCTCGTTTCTAGTCCACCCATCTATCTTTCTGCTGAGCAGATATACCCATGGGTCTAGGGGAGGAGACCTGCTCAGGACCTGGGTTATTAGGTCCTTAATTTGGTGCCAGAAGCTCGCTATCAGTGGGCATTCCCACCACATGTGGATATACGTCCCTTTAATTCCGCACCCTCTCCAACATACATCCGAATTGCTCTTCTTCATTTGATACAGTTTTACAGGCGTTGTGTATCAACGGAGCATCGTCTTAATCGCCTGCTCAGGGAACGTTACGCAAACAGAGGATTTGTGGTTGGCTTCCCAAATCTCCTGCCATTCTATCCCTTCTAGTTGTTCCCCTAGGTCTCTTTCCCAATGGTCCATATACGTCAGCCCACCCTCTTCGTTAGGCACTGAGCAGAGGTGGGCGTACAGCCGAGTTATCAGGCCTCTAGGCATATGGTCCTGAATGCAAATTTGTTCGAAAAAAGTCAAGGGCTTTTGGGCCGCCGCACGGACCCACGTCAGTTTAGCGAAATTTTTTATTTGTAGGTACCTGAAAAAGTCAGCGGGGGTGAGGTGCCCCATTTGTTGTAAGGCATCAAAAGTCACCACCTCCGCATCCTGCACTAGCTGATATACGCGCTGCAAGCCTAGTCTCTCTAGGTTCCTAAAGTTGCGCGCTGCCATGCCCGGAGGGAATGCTCTATTTCTTAGGAACGGCATCAGAGGTGATGGGGTCGAAGCCAGCCCTTGTCGCCGTTGAGCTCTATCCCAAATATGTATAGAGTTTAGGATAGCTGGACAGGTCGATCTAATGATTGGTCTATGTTCTTTGGGGACCCATATGAGTAGCTGTGGAATGTCCGCCCCCACCATTAGTGACTCCAGATCTACCCACCTCCTCTCCCCGGGTGGGGAATGCCATAATGCTATTTGCGACAGTTGTGTCGCCAAGTAGTATCCGTATAGATTAGGTAGGCCTAGTCCGCCCCTGTTTTTGGGCCTGTGCAATACTTGCCTAGAGATCCTGTGGCATTTATTATGCCACACAAAATTTCCTATTGCTTGTTGCAAGGGCGCCAGCTGCGCCCTGGAAACGTGTATGAAAATAAAATAAGATCCTGGGTAGGATATTCATTTTAACCGCATGAATCCTCCCCATCCAGGAGATGGGTCTGTCAGTCCAGGTCTCTAGTTCCCTGATAAGCTGCTTCAGGAGGGGTGTATAGTTCTGTGAATAGAGTTGGTCAGGGGCGGCTGTCAGCTTTATGCCTAGGTATTTTATCGATTGGCGTTCGATGCGGAGGTGGTGTGCCCGTTGTATATCTGTCAAGTCCCCTATCGGGATCTCTATGGGGAGGGCGCTGGATTTGGTCATGTTAACCCTGTAGCCCGAAACTGCTCCAAATGCCCCCAGGACGCCCTGCAGGGCCCTCATCGAGTTGACGGGGTCGGTGAGCGCCAGGAGCACATCATCCGCGTATGCCGAAACCAGAAACTCCCTGCCTCCCGCCCTAGCTCCCCTTATGTTTGGGTGTCGTCTAAGGGCCTGTAGCAGGGGCTCCAAGGAAAGCACAAAGAGGAGCGGAGAGAGTGGGCACCCTTGTCTAGTGCCATTGTATAACATGAACGGTCGCGGTGGGGCGCCTGAGATTTTTACTTGTGCTCGTACGTTGGTATACATGGCTTTGATCAGAGTTATTGCCTGTTCGGGGAATCCCATGTGGGACAGGAGTGTGAACAAGTACGTCCACGTGACTCTGTCAAACGCTTTTTCAGCGTC